GTCAAAAATTGAGCAAATAGCAATTTGTATGTAGCAGTTATGGCTCTTATTACTTAAGTCATCTTCTGCATCTTACGTTCTTCTTTCGTGATTATTTAATTTGAAGATCTGCTTGATTCAGAATAAAGTCTTTATCTTCCACTTTAAAATTACTTATTGTTTCGAAAAAACTCAATTTTCAGCGAAAGATTATGGTAAAATTTTATATGAAACCTTGATGCGTTCAATTGTCTTTCTTCTACTCTTCTTCAATAGAATCTCGCTCTTATTCTTTGAAACCAGAATTATAATTGTTTATTTTGTACGGATTTCTTGATCTTTATTAAAACCAATATCTACAATTATTATTTCTCAATATTCACTTCTGAAAACTTATTTGCTAGCCATAGGATGGTCTCGTAATCACTTTTATCTTTTCTTTCTGAATCTAGCCGACAGTTCTTCAACATAGTTTGAACTGTAGTCGGCTTTAAATCGTGATCTGTCTTGATAATTCCTGTTGTTTTTTTAATAAATTTCAAATTAATCTAAACTCCTCAATTTGCCATGCATACAAAGAGAAAAGTGACAGTGGTAAGAAGAAATGTCTACAACTTTGTTTTTTGAATTTTTCGAATAAAAAGTTTAGAGACGTTTTTAACAAAACTATTTTTAGATTTCTCGTTTCTTGATGAAAAGAGATTCTGCATAAACTTAAAATAAATTGAAATCTACGATTTGCTAGCAGAAGCTTAAAACGGCTGCTCTGAGAGTAAACCTATTGACTTTAGTGTGTTTAAAGATTAAAAAGTAGACAGAATGAAAAATTCGTACAAACTAATGATTTTTTTCAACTTATACATTGTTTGAACAAACAGATTTGGTGATCCTCTTATCAAAAAGTTCTTCAAAATAAAAAATTATTGAAGCTTTACAAAATTTTAAATAAAATTTTTAGACTTTTTAGAATTTTTAGACTAGAAAATTTTTAGAGAATTTTGTTTCTCAACTTCAAACATTTTTGCAACAAAATATCGACGTTGTGTTGCAGCTTCGCAAATGAAAAAAATAATTTTTTACTACCGTAGCTTAACGGTTTTTAAAGAATGTCTGTCAAATTCCAATTTTTGCCGTTTACGTTACCTTTTAAAAAGAGCGTGTTGTAGAACAATTCCAGAAAAGTTTTAAAAAAAAAATAGAAAATTTAAGAAAGTTTAGAAAAAAAAGTTGACAAACTGTTTTAATCTCTCAAATCATGTTTCCAAAGACACAGTTGGTGAAACCAAAATCACGGTAACAAATAAATAATTTACGGCTGCAACATGCGGTAAATGTTTCGACTGTTTCTGTTGCAGGTTAAACTCTCCGAGCAACACTCATTGTAGCAGCACTAAAAAATCGCAAATTTTTACTGATTCAATTGATTGGTCACGTAGTCCGTCTCAAAACCAATGAATGTTTTCCTGAAATTATTAGAAAAACAAGCAGAATTTTTTTTTTAGTAATCTGTATGTATTGAAACGATGACGTTTTATAAAATACGTGAAAATGACGCGAGGCAACAAAGCGAAAAAAATGCAAAGCTTTCGCAACTTTTTTGACAAAAACTGTTTCTGCAGAAAAAGCAAAAATAGTGCAACGTCATGTAATACCGCAAAACAAACTACAAAGAAACATTTCAGAAAACTTCCAGAATACTTCACCATTGTTGTTTCTTTGAATACAATGATTGACTTATTTTGACAGTAATACAGTGTTGAAAAAAAGTTGCATATGAAATGTAAATGGAAAAAAAAAAACATTTCTTTTACTCAGAATGAGTAAAATTTTCTTCCTATGATATATTGATTTTGAAAATTATTCTTTTTTTTTTGATTTTTTTATCCACAAAGCAAAATAATTGTTTACTGGTAGCCCAAACTCTTCTCAAAAAACATAAACACATAAACAATGTAAAAATTTTCACGAAGCTGATAAAGAAGTGAAAAAATGCAACAAAATTTTCATTGAAAAATTTGCATATAAATTGATAGATACTATCGAGTTTTATTTTTTTTAATACTTTTTTACGCTAAAAAGGCTATAACTTTTTAGGTTTTTTCTACAAAAAATTAATTTTTTCTTTAAGCACACTGAAGTTGGAGTTTATTGCAAAGGATTAGTGCACTCCTCTAAATCTTCTAGAATTTATAAACCTGTAAGAAGACAAAACAAATATAAACTGTTGCAAAACCATCACTCGACAGTAAATATCATCAGCCCTTTAGTTAATTACAGTTTTGCTCTCAAAAACAGTTACTATTCGTAAACAATTAGTTTCAGACTCTTCAAAAAGTTTAGAAACTATCTGTTACGAGAATACTGTTAACAGTTGAGAATTTCAAAAAACCACTTTTTCTTCAAATAACTGTATTTGGTATAAAAGAAATTCAAAAATTATAGAGCTACCCCTTTGATGCTCCTTGAAATTTCGCCTCTTTTTTCTTCGCTGCGTGTTCTATCTGAACAAAGTTCAAAATTTATTTCTAGAAAAAATTATTTTTCACTTATTTTTATTTTTTTAATAACGTCTTTTTCTTTTTAAAACTATAACAGTTGAAAAAATAAATTTTCAATATGATAAAGCTGATAAATGTTGCTAATCGTTGTAACAAGTTGAAAATGACAGTTTTTCAATGGTTTTTCTTTTTTCAGTAAGTGCACTTTTTTCATCAACAACTTCCATCACCGCTTAGTCATTTTTCTTGACCGCTGTTACTCGATCTCATTATTCATCGTTTTTCATCACATAACTACGGAATACGACACACGAACATGCTGCAAGGTATGAATAACATAACTCATTTCTAAAACTTTTATACATAATATTTCCCCTTCTGTTTTTTCAATACTAAACTAAAAATTCATATATTCTTAGTCATCTTATTGTCGACTGCAGAGCAAACCAAATTTATTACTATTGTTTTACAGATATGGCCTGCAGATTTCGCCTGGCTATCTTTTTGACTACTTTCTACAGATGTATAATCACTAACTTTGTGATAGCCCTCGCCACAACACCGTGCTCTGAAGATACCGCACAAGTATGTCCAAACAAATTAGGCGATACCATTTGTGAACAATTTTTTGAAAAGCCGACTAAACTCAGGTAATAAATGGCTATTAATAAATTTTCTTTTTAAAAACTTTTACTACATAAAAGACTACATAAGAAGAAGTATCAAAATGAAATAAACGAAAGACATCGGTCAGTAATTTATAACTTTAAAAAATCACTTTCAATATTTAATAGTCTTTTCTTCTATCTTAGATTACTTCGGTTACAAATATAGTCAGCCAAAAACTAAAGGATAAACCTTCTTTTCAGTAATGGATGGATGGCAGATGCTAACTGTAATAAACCCGAATACAGAAGTCTGGCAGTTCAGTGCCGCCGAACATGTCTGACATGTTGTAGAGATCCGGCATACCAATGCGAGAACAATGAAAGTAAAATAACTTGATTTTTAAAATTTGCCAAGATTGCTTTTCTTATATAATTTCTCAAAAAATCGTGATTTCTCTACTCCACTTTCTTTGAATACAAATGACTAAAAATAATTTTAGCTAGAGTAAGTCAAATATTTTCTAGATTCGCGCCTAAACTGTACTGGAATACTTGAAGCTGGTGGCTGTATTACTGAAGTACCGTGGATTGCACGGATGCTGCAACAGGAATGCCCACATTCGTGTGGCTTATGCGAAATTTCATTCTGCGCTGATAAGCATGAAATGTGTCCTTTATTAGCAGAAATATGTAACCACCAAAGTTGGTTTCATTTCATGGAGGAAATGTGCCCTCGAACGTGTAACATTTGTAACAAAAACAAAAGAACCACTAATTTACTTGCAGGTAACAATGCAACAAATAAGAAGTAATTATCTTTTTAAATGCTTAACACTAGTTTTATTGACTAAATTTTAAAAATTTAAACTCTAAGAATTGGTTTATTATTTTAATCAAATTGTGAGGGAATATTGAGTGCTCTTTATAATTTTTCCTTTTGCTGTTATTTGTGAGCTTCAAATTTTAAGTCTGAAGTCTTCGAAAAAAAGCAACACTTAACGTTTAAGTGTGGTTAAACTATAAATAATGCAGGTCATAAG